ATAATAATGCATGTGTGTGTGCATTTTAAACATAATTAAGCAACTTACTGCTGTTAATATGTTAGAAGTATATAATGATCTCCTTTGGGCAGTTTACACCCAAGCAGATGTGCTCTCTCTCTCTCTCTCTCTCTCTCTCTCTCTCTCTCTCACACACACACACACACACACACACACACAGTTCCAAATATAGAATGTTGGATAGAATTTCAGTTCAAAAACATGCCTTCCCCATGGAATGGAAAAATATGACAGAATAATTTAGAGTTTTAGTTTAAATTAATAAAATAAATATAACTTATCCACTGATTTTTTTTATAACAAAACCACACTAACTTTATTCTGCCTTCAGCTGATCTAGTTATTTGCTGGTAGTCACTGAAATTTAAAAATTTTTATACTTAACCTTTCACTTATTAGTTAGATTTATAAATGGTTAGATTTGTAAAATACCTTTTCTATAGAAGCTCTGAATATCTAAAATGAGAGCCTCCCTTCATTTTATACATATAGTGTAACAGCAATCCTGCGAAGTAGATCTGTTTAAGAGAACAATTAGTCCAAAGTTACCCAGTGTGTTTCTGTGGCTTGGGGGGTGATGTGTTAAAAATGCAAACACATCCTTTTTAAAAAAGTAGTAATAGAATTTTTATTTGCCTTACACATTTTCCAATGGTTGCAGATCATACGCACATCTTGTATTCATACTTCCTTATCTTTATGGTGGAATGCTATGCTTGTTTCAAAGTATACAGTGGTATCTTGGTACTCAACTGCTTTGAAACTCATCGAATTTGGTTACTAATTTGGAACTTATTTATCCAACTGATTGATTATATGCCATCAAGTTATTATTAAATCTTAGTGACCAAATAGATTTTCCTCTACGATGACCTGTTCCTAACTTGGACTTCTAACGGTGCATCCATTGCTACTGTAACCAAATCTATTTATCTTACTGCTGGTTATTCTCTTCTTCTCTTTCTCTCTACCTTTACCAGGATCTTCACAGATTGTGTCTGAACTAGGATGATTTATGCCTGGTCACTTGTGCCTCAAGTGAGAACTCTGGGCTGATTTAGTGGTCCATAGGTTTGTTTTCCTGCCTGTGCATGGTATATTCAGGAATCTTCTCCAACATCAAAGTTCAAAAGCAGCAACACTCTTCCTATTCTGCTTCTTCCAAGTCTAACTTCTGCTTCTATAATGTGTCATAAGGAATGCAAGATCTGCATAATTCTGATCTGTATAGGTACATAGACATATAATAGCTTCTGAATAACTTTTTATGGCTAGTTTGTCAAGTGCTAGTCTGTGGTACATTTCTTGATTGTTTATTCCTTTGCTATAGATGGTTGAACCCAAAAGGTAGGTGCTATCCAACACATCACATAAATGGAGTTATGAGAACGTTCAGCACACTACAATGGTTGACTAAGGAATCCTAGGAGTTGAAGTCCACACATCTTAATATTGCTAAGATTAAGAAAAACAGGATTAAGAGCAGGGAGAACCAGTTCTAATCTATTGTCAGTCACAAAAATTCACTTGAGATTTTGGGAGCAGTCACATTCCTTCAGTCTCACCTATACCACAGGATTGTTATGAGGAAAAAAGGAGGAGGAAGCACTATATATGGTGCCTTGTGTTCCTGAATAAAAAGCAATTAAGCATTGAAATCACACGCTTTGAAAAATGCAAGGAATTCCTGATCTTCAAATAATTACATTAAATATATTGTGACTTTAATAAAAGTCAATTTTAAAATACTGATTTTCTCACTGAAGCCACCTTTAAAATAACAGTTTAACATAGGACCCTATATGTTGAGAATTAGGAGAACTAAGTTCTTCATTCTAGGTCTATAACTGTAACATAATTTTTTTTGTGTGTAACTCAATCAATTCAAGTATTCTGAAAGTTTGTAACAGAACAAAATGAAACACCATGTATCATCTTTGCCACCTTAAAATAATGAGCCACTTTTTTTCTTTATGACAAAGGCCTTGTATCAGGAAGCTACGTAATTTCTTGAACTATGTAGCTACTTAGAACATTCAGTTCACAATCCTAATCCTATTCTCTATTGAAAATAGCATAGCCTTATCATATGGTATATGGTACTGATGATAAAAAGATACAGGACTGAATGACAGGTAGATATGCTAAATATCAGGTGGCACAATTGAATGGCCCCCTTGCTTTGTACCCAGCAGAATGTTACCAACAACAATCTCAGTTTAGTTGAGAAAAACCTATCCATGTCCTAAATTGAAAACAGATTTAAAGCATTTAAAACACTTTAAATTCTGCTCAGAAACATATCACTGATATTGACTGTCTTAGGCTACTTCTGATTAGTAGCCTAGCAACTGTACTATGAAAAAAACTGTAACTTCCAAAAGCTATGTAAAGACAGCATCAATAATGTATTATAATTACCTAATTTGGAAGTTATCAAAGTACATACAAGTATAATCAAGCTTTGAGAAGTTACACTTTATATAACAGCTGAGGAAAGCATTCCTTGCTCACAGAAGCAATCTGGACAGTCACTAACGAAGTAGGTAAGTCCTTTGGTGCTCCTGAGTTATAAAAAAAATTAGGGAAATGCAACCTCCACCAAAACAGTTTGAAAATCATCTCCACGCTTTATATAGTTTATCTGGTCCAATACAGATTCTGTATTATTTATTCAGCATTTCCATTGCCTAAAGAAAATCAGATGAAAAAGAAAAACCATGATGAAAATGGTCAATTTTTTAATATCCGTGAAGGCTTCTTGAAGATGCTTTCATGCAAATCATGATCAGCTTAGCAGAAATAATGGAACCCAACATGAGCCCACAATACAAGCCATAGCACTAAGCAGTAATCAAATAATGTTTAAACTGGGTTTATTGATTCAGAGTTTTTTTGTTTATGCCCAAATTTCCAGATCATTGGAGGAGGAGAGTTGCATATTGAGTTGAATCCTAAAGTGGTGAGCTGTGGTTTCATAAGGCTTACCCAAGGCACCAAAATGAATTGGGAGAAGTAGGAATGTTAATTTCAATAGATTACAAAAATAATGCTTCTTAGCCTTGTCACATGGGGGAGTTTAGGTTTATTCAGATACAGTACATCTTTTTCAATCAAAAGTTTATACAGGTAGTCCTTATTTACCAATCACAATTCAGACCAGCGATTCCATCACCAAGTGATTTTAAATTGGTTTTAAAATTGAAAAGTCGAAGTGACAGTGGTAGACTTATGCAGTGCATTTTTTCTTAAAAAAAAAAAAAAGATTCGGAACTCACACACGTCATACAACCTGCCTTACCTACCCTACAAGGTTCCATCTAAAAAAGGTGCTGGAACTCCGTTCTGGGCGTTCTATGAGAAAAAAAGCCCTGGACTTATGACATCAATTCATCAGTACTGACTACAATTGTTAAGTGAATCATTGAGAGTTGTTAAGCAAAATATCACATGACTATGAATTGAAACTTCCTGCCAACTTGGTTGATAACAACCCATCATTAGAAACATCGCTAGATGTTTGTATTGCAGTGTTTCTACAACCTCAGGAACTTTAAGATATGTGGACTACAATTCTCAGAATTCTAGCATGCCATCCCCAGCTATCATCCTGGGGAATTCTGGGAGTTGGTTCATGCATGTTAAATATCCTGAGGGTCTATTGCAGTGGTTCTCAACCTGTGGGTCGGGACCCCATTTGGGGTCTAACGACCATTTCACGGAGGTCGCCAAACAATGCAGTCCGCCATTTTCCCCCCTTTTCCTTAGCTGTGCTACTCCTCTTTATTCTATTGGCTTTTGAAAGCCAATAGAACAGGCTCTCTTGAATAGAGTCTAATTCTATTGGCTTTCAAAAGCCAATAGGAATTGTCCAGGCTGTCTCTGCCCTGCTAAGCCCGCCAAAAGTCCCATTCTGCAAACGGTGTTGCACCAGTTGAGTAATCCTCGACTTACGACCGGTTGAGTAGTCCTCAACTTACGACCGGTTGGGGGGTCGCGGCATTAAAAAGGTTGAGAACCACTGGTCTATTGCAATATACATAGTCCTTCACTTTACAACCACAAAATTTTCATTGCTAAGCAAGGCGGTTGTTAAATGAGTCATACCCCATTTTATGTCCCTTTTGCCATGGTTAAGTGAATCACTGCAGTTGTTAAAGGAATTGTGCAGTCTTTAAATGAATTTGGCTTCCTCAATTAACTTTGCTTGTCAAAAGATCCCTAGATAGGTTGCAAATGACAATCCCAAGACCTGGAATGCTGCAACCATTGTAAATACATGCCACTTGCCAAGCACCCAAAGTTTGATTACATGGTTATGTGGATGCTGCGACGATCATAAGTGTGAGAACTGGTCACTACTTTCAGTGTCTTTGTGACTTTTGTCATTAAACGAGGACTACTACCTGTATACCAAATGATGAGTGAAATAAGAGAATGCAAATGTTATTGTTTCTAATACTGCATCAGTCAACAAAAGGATCAAATGATCACATTTCATTCTTTCATGACATGCAGAAATAAATTCATTTCAGTTACTTAAGGAACAATTGGAGCCAGTCGTGAGCCATCTGTGTCTCTTCTCTGATTCCTTTTCTTCTGAATGTATAAATCAGGTCACCTGGAGGTTGCTGTCCTGCTGAATGGTATCAGTATGGAACAGGAGCCTGTCATCTGAGACTCTTTCTTGGTTTTCAAGCGAGAAAAGTTCTGTTGTGGCATCTACTGTGTAGAACACTGAGACTGAATGCCTTGTCCGATGCACCAAAACTGGCAACTAAACTGAAATGTTAGTTTATGCTTAATTTTCAGACCTTAATAAGCCCTCACTGTTCTGGATACAATTTATACAAAAATTGTACATTATGACTATTACTCTTTTTTTAAAAAAAATCAATTTTAATCTATTATTGAACTAGTATAAAGCAACTGGTCATGTTCCTATAATTATGTGGTTTTTTTTTTCCTTCACTGGACAGAATAACAGATTTGGAAGTGGACTGCCATGGAAACCCTCCATAATGAACAGCCCCCTGCATACTAAAGCAAAGGACAGAAAAAGTAACATACTGAGTCCAGTACTAGCTCCTCTATGAATGAGTGGAAATATAGCCCTACAAAGAACACGGGGAATGGAAGATGGTTTTGAATGGTTTGCTGAAAAAAATGTCCTCATGGGTTCCTTGATTTCTGTTCCACACCTCACTTAGCAAATACTAGGCTGGATTAAGCAAGAGGGAGATGCCAAAGAGGCCATACTGGTTCTTTTCTTCTTATGATTTCAGCATAAAGTTTATGGCTGATGAATTGTGACAAGGGATTGCTGGGATACTGTTAGGCACAAGAATGCTCAGCTGCTTAAAAAAAAAAATATTGTGCCTTTCCCTCCCTGCCAGGCACTTGGTTATCCCTCTCTGAAATAATCAACTAAATTTGCAAGGTTTGTTTACCAACATCCCTCCTCCTTAGGAAATAAATGAGATGATGTCCTTCTTGTCTTTCCAATATGAGATTCACTCTAGGAGGAGTTCTGCAGTTTTCCAGTTCTATCACCATCATCTCCCTTTCCACAGAGAATGAACAAACCCCAAAATTGGGCATTAGGACTTTCTAGTTCCATTTCTGACATATTCTCTGGCAAGTTTAAGAGAGAATAACCTCTACCTTATTTGAGATCTAGAATTTTGTAAGTATGAAAAGAGTTAAGTTTCATCCAAAAAAGAAAAAAAATATAACTATAGTGCTACACTGAAAAAGATTCACTGGAGATAGTGATTTGCCCAGATTTTGTCCTTAACCACATTATTTTTTGCCTGTCTTTCACCAGTAGCAAGCCAAGAAGCCTTTTTAAAAATGGAAGAATATGACTGGATTTTGTAAAATCATAAGTAGAAGGCAAAATGGATGGATGAATGAAAATAGACATTTTCCTGTCAAAGAGAAACTGGCTGAGCTGAATGAAGGGAATCAAATAAGGAATTAGTCTGGAATCCCTACATGGGCATAAGAGGCAAAGTGTGACACCCCTTGAGTGCCATTGAAGCTTATCTAGTCTGACCTAGGTGCAAACTATCAAACAGCTAATTGACGTCTTTGCATGTGGATCTGTTTGTTTGCACCTAACATTATCTTCAATGCAGGGACATGCCCTTGTAAGATTCCCTGTGCTGAAAAACAGCAAAATATTTTGCCCTAGCTGCCCTGGGCAAACAGAAATGTTTGCAGTGAGCAAACTAAATACATTTGCCCTGTGATACTGACTTATCTTTTTCTGGGTAATTCACTGTGAACCAGACAAAGCAACTTGATTGCAATTCAAACTCTAGCCTTTTCCAAATCCTTTCTGAACTCCCAAGCAGTCCTTGTTTGACAAGGTTGAAATAGCCAAGAACCTAATAATGAATAAAGGACAGATATGTTTATTTCACCTAAATGTTTTTCTTGAATCAGTAGCTTACTTTCATAGACGTTTAATAGAATTATAGTTTCTTACCAAAGTCTGCCTTAATAACAGCTTGCAGTGACTGCTGACTTTTGCTTTATGGAATATTCCCAAATGGTTCTCAACAATAATGTTTTAACTGCACTCATCTTCAAGAAGAACAGTTAGAGCAAGCTAGGTTATCTTATTAGAGAATTTCATTTGCCGAGTAAGGTGAAAGGTAATGATTGCCTCTTGTGCCGAGTTACGTGTATAGAGAACATGAGGGAAATCATTCTCAGAAGTTGAAATTACTAGCTAATCTACAACTTTATAAAAATACAAATAAATCCCATAGCGCCTCTTGTTCATGCAAATTAATATTCATGCAATACAGAAAAGTGATCCAAACAAAGGGAAATAATAGTTTGCAGAGAGCACTAAGAACCCAGCAGTACAACCTGCACTACATATATTCTTTTGGAAGTATACAAGTAGCAGCTTATCTAGGGCAACAGTTGTTTTCAGTTTCTTAGAACCAGACAAGATGGTCAAAATAATGAAATATAAAGATGAATCACTGAGTTAAGTTCATATTTCTCTCCTAATGAAAGCAACTGGAACTATGAATTCAGTTTGTAGATGCTGCAGTTTCTTGACCAAAAATCTTACTTAAAATAGAGCAATTACAGAATAGCAAGAAGTTATTGAGACAATAGTAGAGAATTGTCTCATCTTGCTGATACTGGTTGAACCAGGAAATATATTTTTCTCCTACCAATAATTAGTAGCCATAAAAAACCTTAGTGAGGATTTGCAAAGCTCCTTGCAAACATCCTCAAATCCTCTTATTCAAAATATACACAAGCATATTTAATACCTTCAAGTTACCAGAAAGAAAATATCTGCAGTATCAAAATACAGCTCATAAGCATGGGTAACTGCCATTTCATTCTCCTGAGTGCTATTTCAGTGAAAGCATATTGCAAAGATAACTTGTATGGCTTGGTTTGGCGGCCTAACTTGGACAGACTTGTCCCTTTAAAGTTCTCAGTTGATTCTATGACATGAATTCAGGAGACCTGAGCACCAATACCACATTTGGACTAGGCAGTTTCTAAGCAAGGATTGTGTACAGTTTTATTTAATGTTGATAAAAAGAAGACTATATTTGTTCTCATTAGAGATTTTAAAATATATATATATAAGTTCTCCTTCCAGTCAAACTTGACTCCTGGTGACAATGTAGAAATGAAAAATCTATGCTATTTTCTTGGCAACAATGCAGAAGTAGATTTCATTAATGTCTCGAATTCTTTACTTCCCAAACCAGTATACAACCCTGGGCTTTCTTAGTGGCTTTCTACCATCAGTACTTAACCACTTCCAACCTGACATATGAAGATTTTCAGTCATCCATTCATGGTTGTCCCAAGGCTGCCTTTTAAGAAAGCACCTTTGGAACTTCCAGCCTACTCAGGTTTTTGTGTAGTAAGCCAAGATGAGGTAAGTGCTGTTCCTATTAAGTAAGCTGAAATTCTTTAGATTCTCATTCCTGAACCTACATACCAAACTCCATACTAGAAATACTGGGCATGCAATTTCTTCTCCATTTATACTTATTTCTTATTTATTTTTATTTTATTTTTTAAAAGGATTTCTTAGGGCTCAATTTTTTGTGGTTTGTGATTTGAGACCAGATTTTGTATCATAGGAGTTTAGAACTATCCAACAATTAAGTGAATTAATTCTGCAACTGCAGAGTTTATATAGTTTCACTTGAATTTAATCAGTATTGAATTGAATTTATTCAGTATTCAGTGCTAAAGATACGGCTATAAGAATTATGCCATTTTAAAAAAAGTGCTGTGTAACATGGTCACTCATAATTGATAATTGACTGAAAATAATGCTTTTGAAGAGTCAGAAAATAAAAAAGCAAATTTTCCTCTATCACAGAGTGAGTCTAAGTATAATACTATTTTCCCAGTAAAATACTCCAAACTTTTGATGAAATAAACAATAATCCCTGAAAGTTTATAGAGCAATTTAGTCTTTAAGGTGCACCAAGATTCTGTTGTGTTTTCCTTGGTTTTAATTTAAATTGTTTTTGCTCCACTCATTTTCCCTGGGTGTAGTCATTAAAGTAACCCTTCCCAATCGGCAAAGGTACGATGAATATAACACAAGTTGGCTGTAAATGTATAGGGATTGAGGTCTTGTAAAGTTCGTGTGCAGCAAACTGCCTCAGTTCAAATGCATGATCTCACCCCTTTCATATCGCCATGGTGATATAGGGAAATACCCCAGGCTGGTACATGATTTCACCTGGTTCACATGATCTCACCTCGTTCACACCAACAGGATGTAGCAGAAAACTGCCCCTGGTTGGTGCCCCTGGCTGAGATATTCTTAAGGATTGACAAGGAGATTCTACCAATAAAAATGCCGTTGCTATACTGTTGTTATGTTACTTTATGCTGCTTGGAAAACTGTATAAGAGAATAAATACTACGAAGGCAGTAAGATCATTTCTGCACCCTGCAATGACTGGTCTCTGATTCCGTCATAAATGTAACTGAATACAATTTAGAGAGAGAACAATATTTCCTGAATATGTAAATACTATAATCATTAAAGCATTTTTAGATGGAAAATGTTTAAGCATACCCTAAATTTTGATTTGCACAATGAAGATGGGGAAAAAAAATCTCTATCTCCTGTAGCATGGCCTGCATAATTCAGATGAAACAAGAAACATTTTCAATGTTTTCTCAAACATTGAAGGAATATATGATTTTTGCGAAGTGATGTATTTCTTTTTTTTTTAAAAAAAGTGAAATGCCAAATCTTAGTACCAAATATCTGCATACACATATCTCTGCCATATACATACTAAGTGTATATACACTCTTAACATTATTACTTACCCTGTAAAATTGGATTCTAGAACCCAATTTTCTTAACAATGACAAATCCAGCAGTGATGTAGCAATGTAAAAATGGTATCTCCCATTTTTTCTAAGCTTTACCAAAGCCATGATTCTTTCATCTTACCTTGTCACTGAGGCATTCTGACTCCTCTGCCAGAAGGTAAACATTCCCACTTTCAGCCATAAGGATAGCAGTGTCTGTAGTAGATGAAGATCTTGGCCGGCTTTGATGTTGATGCAGGATTGCTGTCAGGCTGCTATCCTGGGGGGCCCTCCGCACAAGATGTGGACTGCTTTTTTGTGGTTCTACAGAGCCACTCTTGGCTCGGCGACTGCCACTGTGCAAACTGGTTCCTCTCTTAATAGAAGGACGAGAGCGAATCTGCTGTAGCACCCTGTTGAAAGCAGTGGGTCGAGCTGGGAGATCATGGAGAGACACAGCATAAGAGACACGATGCATCTCAGGAGAGCGTTCTTTTTCATCAGGGGAGTCATGATCAGACATGCCATGGTGTTGCTGGGATGACTCCTGGGAATTCTGATGCTCCCGTTCTCGGGATCGTCTACGACTATGGAAAAGATGTTTGAGTCCATGACCAAACATAGAACCTTCAGACAGTTGTTGTATCTTCTGTTCAAGGAAAGAAGACAAAATATTGGAATGATAGCTGAAGAAGGAACTAAATAAAATTTGTTGTAAAACACAAATGAAATATAACAAGTATGAAAAAAATCCCATCTTGCCCATGCCACCCCAAATCACAATTTTGTAATTGTCTATTGTTACTAACTGGTGTCATTCTTTTGAAGTCCAGATTTCATCCATATGAAGTGCACATCATAATCAAGAAGCCTGGACACTACGCTTCCTCATCACATTAGTAAATTCCTGTGTTGCCCTATCTACAATATATGATACACTGTTCCCCCTCCGAAAGGTAGCCAACGTCAGCTGCTATGGAGAGCTAAGGAAATAACCACGGAGAAGAATCCAGAGGCCAGTAGGAAAACACCAAGTACAGGGAAAAATATGCATTAAATCTAGAGAGGTGCAACAGCATTCTAAAAGACTAGCTTCTCATCTGACTCCCTCAGATATCACAGGGAAGAAAAGAAGGTGTGGACAGACTTGCAAGAATAAGTTATCCGAATAAAGTTCAGTTGTATTTTTCTGTGTAGTCTGTCTGGTTCATCTTGAAGGGATGACATCAACAATAGTCGAAGACTTGTCCTGAAGAAGTAGGAGTAGAGAATAAAAAAGCATGCTTTGATGGAGATAGGAAAGATCCATTACCAAGGCAACAGTAAAATAAAGTGGCTTGAGTCCATATCAAGAAAGTGTTTTACAAAAAATCTCAGAGAATCCCCCCCAGACATCATATTAGAGAAAAGGAAAAAGAAAGGAACAACATTTGGACTTGTAAGATTCTGTTACTATAGCTATTCTAATAACTGTCATGTTAGGACCACAGAGTTTCTTATAAAGCTGATAGTAGCAAAACTCTGAGGAAGACAAAGATGAATGCTTAAGGGTAAAGTGCAAGAAGACATAAAATCATATGATTAGAAAAAGTGCAATTAATTGAGTAACCTTTAGCATCATAGAGACAGACTGTCATAATATACTACCTAGCCACCATGCTATTTTATTTTGGGATAAGCAAAGTTATGTAAAGCATAGAAAAGAAATAATGAGCCAAAAGAGTTAGATGTAAGAAGAAGAAAAGAAAATATAGCGGAATGTAGTTTATACCTTCATCATTCACTACTCTTCTCCAAATCCTGCTTCCACTAGATTTACATATTGATATTGTCATTTGTTCTTTCAGATTTATATATTATTCCTTCTAAAGATACATTTCTTATGTGATGGCAAACTTACTAAATCATGAAAGTCATCCATCATTGTTATGTGTCACTTGAAACATGGCATTGTAAGGAATATCCATAGTTGGATATTTTGAATATCAAAGCAGCTCACAGAATCCACAAGCTAAAGTGTAACTTGTGTGGCAACAGTATTGTGATCACTTTTGTTTTGCATTTTAAATCTTAACAATATTTCCAAATGAAATATTTCTTTTTGCCATTCTGGAGAAGATTCCTGCGAGTCCCCTGGACTGCAAGGCAACTAAACCGGTCAGTCGTAGAGGAGATCAACCCTGACTGCTCTTTAGAAGTCCAGATCCTGAAGTTGAAACTCAAGTACTTTGGCCACCTAATGAGAAGGAAGGACTCACTGGAGAAGAGCCTAATGCTGGGAAAGATTGAGGGCAATAGAAGAAACAGACGACAGAGAATGAGGTGGCTGGATGGAGTCACTGAAGCAGTAGGCGTGAGCTTAAATGGACTCCAGAAGACGGTAGAGGACAGAAAGGCCTGGAGGAACATTGTCCATGAGGTCACAATGGGTTGGACATGACTTCGCAACTAACAACAACAATATGATTTAATTAGAAAGCGGTCCCAAAAGCTTGATCAGTCTGTTACATATATTAACTCTATTTCTGTTTCTTTACTGTTCTCCATTGGCACCAGCTATTGCCAAAGCCACTGTTTGAAAAGCCTAAGGGAGAAGTTACTCTAAGGAAGAGCAATCTACTCTGCAGGCTCTGTTGCTTTTGCCAAACCACAAGACCAGCTAATGTTACAGATATTTGAAGGTAAGCCTAATAGAGATACATCATATAAATAAAAAGACCAAAAGGAAAAAATAAGTTCCTACAGTATTCATAAATGAATGACAACAAGATTATAGATATAAGCTGTTCCAAGCAAGGCTGCCTTTTACCATTGACTGAGGGTGATTTTATTAATAGCAATGATAGTGATGTTATTATTTTATGATAAAAATAAGCAATAAGCATTCTCAAAATAGCTTGAAAGATGCAAATTGTAAAGACAAATCACTACTTATTTCTTCTATCAATGTTTTCTACTTGTACAGAACCTTCACTCTGATAGGAAGCAAGAAAAGACTAATGATGGGTCAAGAGTCATATACAAAAACAGTGATCATGTTACTGCACAAGACATTAATCAACAGAGGTTAATGGAATGCTATAGAATTGCATTAAAAGCCTAGCTATTGGTTTCTTATTAAAGTTCTGAAACTTTTCAGACCTCCTTGCCTCTTTCTAAAGTTATTCTACTTTTTGAGTTTTTCAAGTTAATAACCTATTCTATAATGAAGTGGAGAGATCCTGACATACGGTTGTGAACATATAGCCTGTGTGCATACATTTCTGGATTGGAACAGTAATCCACAAAGTTTGAGAAGACAAATACGGTAGATCAGACTGTTTCCAATTCTATCTAATGGAAAAAGAGCACAGCCCTTTTTCCATTAGATTCAGAATACAGGTTTTAGAATTCCAGAATTTAATATTAATTGGCCTTTGACAAAATATCTGAGGCTAAGATATATGAAAAACAAAATCCCATGTTTTGAACAAGATATAATTCCTCACCCATATCCTAGGGATTGTTATCTTAGAAAATTATTTCTGAAAGAGGGGAAGATTTTTCTATGGAATTGTTGCTTTGGACATTACAATTTAAAGTTTATTCTATTTATAGTGTTTCTATGGAAACAGTGTATGTAAGATTAAAGAAGAACTACAAAACCTACAGATTTCTCCCATCACGATACAAGATGGATTTAGATTCTTCATCTGCCTTTAAAAAGACTCATGGGAACCAAAATGAACAGTTCCCACATTTTAAAAATAACTAAGTGAAACATTAAAAAGAGAAAGTTGGTGACGGAGAAGGAAAAACAAGTTATTTTGACAGCAACATACAAAGACTAACTTAATCTCATTTTTTCCATTAAAACGGGGTGGGGGCGGGAGTGGATTGAGGCTGACAGATGACAGCCAAACATAGCAAAACAAATAACGACAGCTGAAATTTTTGTTTCTACATTATTCAGGAAGACACATACAACGTTAAAGAGAACAAGTGGTTTGTTCAATTACACCAAGTAACTCAGCCTTTCTCATACTGGTGATCTCAGATGTGTTGGAACTATAACCCCAGAACTTCCCACAGTGCAGGACTCTGCTGGGGTGTTGTAGTCCCAACACATCTGGAAGATACCAGCAAACAGAAGCGGTATCCTATTTCATGCAGTGGTCGGGTTTTACAGGCTTACATGTAATTGATAAAGAAGCAATTGTTTTTCAAAAAATACATTGCTTCTGGATAATTCACATCCCAGAGAAAGTGACTACAGACATCATGGATTCATTCACAGCAACATACTGAAGTTTATTGGTAATGTTTCTTGCTGAATTGGTACTACTATTAAGCAGAATATTACTTATTAAATGGTTAATTGGAAACCAGCCTGACCTGATCTCCTCTTTTGATAGAATGACCACATTAGTCAGCCATGGGAAATGTAGCAGATGTAGTGTACCTTGATTTCAACAAAACATTTGACAAACTTTCACTGCAATTCTAGTAGAGACAATGGCAAAATGTGGCTGGACTATGCTACTATTAGAAAAATACAAAGTTGGCTGAATACTTATGCCAAAGAGTATTAATAGCCCTACATCAATTGGAGGGAAGTATAGTTTGACTTACAATAG